AAAAATCAATCCAGAAAAAATAAAAAAAACTTAAACAATTTTAATATTAAACATATATTGCCTCTAAGACGACAGGGGATGATATAAATTCGTCGAACAAAAGAAAAAAGCCATCAACACGAATTCAAAAATAACCGGCAAGAACATTTCATTTGATTTGGCAGCACCATATTCGTACAGCGGAAAAAGGGTCATGCGTATTGCAAAGGAACTAATGTTGCGTGAGAGTGAGCGAAGCATAACAGAACGGAACTTGTGTTTTTGTTTTGCCAATTTGGTTGGTTCGGTGGTAGGAAATCAATTGTAATTGTTGAATAGATAAATGCGGTAATCACAAGTCGTTTTCCTCTCGCACAATTCACAATTCGCACCATACAAAAACCAACACAAAAATAGAAGAAAAGTAATACAGTTTTTTCGCAGTTAGTAAAAGTGATAAAAGAAAAAAGTTTTTTCGAATGAATTTTCATTGAAATTAAATAAAAAAGGAATAAAATAGAAAAATCAACGAAAATTAAATAATATAAATAGTGCAAATATTTTCCATGAAAATATATAAAAGTTGAAGAAAAGAAAAAGTTTGTGACTAAACAAAACAAAAAAAGTAAATCAGAAAAAATCCTATTTTTCCTATTAAAAAAAATATAACTAACAAAACATTAGTCGTAGTAGTAGTGAATTTCATCTAACTAAGAACAAATAACTAACAAAAAAGTATACGAGAAAATTATGTCGGCAAAGGTGAGGTGGTGGGAGGTTGATGCAAAAAAACATAATCTTTTACCTATCACCTACTTTTACTGTTACTGTCTGCTAGCCAGTTGTGTAAAATACGCAGTATACCCCGCGTCTATCAGTCTACCAAGACTCCAGGGTCTTATTTTTGTATTCACACAACAACTCCTTTCTTCTCCTTCTTGTTCTTCTACACTAAACTTAATTAACTATTCATAAAATGTGTTCGCAAAATGAAATTAATGGAAATTTCTAATTTGCCGTGATGCTCCTACCGTCAGCATCAGCAATGGGAATTGTACCCTGCTTTAAAATCCTTTTAAATAGAGAATTTTCCGTTAACATATGTTGACATATGTATTTGTTGTTGTTTTCTTTCCTTTTTTGGTTTGGAGGGAGATTTTGTAATTTTTTAATTTATGCAAACCAATTTTGTGTGTGTGTGTGCGACAAACAATTTTGTTTGGTTGCAAGAGAGAAGAAAAGGGCGAGAGAAGAAAATTGTCCTCTTGGGAGCACTCTCAGATAATGCTCAGTAGCTGTTTGTTTCTCCCCATCAATAGATTAACTCAATTAGATGTTTTTGTTTTTGAATGGCGCTCATTGTCAATCTCTCCGTTACGTTCACCCTCATCTCCCACCCCCAAGAGCATGTGTGTATGTCAACACACACAGTGAGTGTATTCACGGTATGTGTTGACAAATATGTGTTTTGGTTGTATTTTGGAAATATTGTCATCGAAGAGCGCGCCCTCTTTCATTCGTGTTTGTGTGAGTGTATGTTTGTTTATTGTTATTCTTATGAGAATTGTAATTTATTTCAATTGAACAAAATTATCATTTAGAATGAAAAAGAAAAGCCCCAAAAAACACTGTATGGAGGAGACAATGGACAAAACCAAAAACAACAACAGCAACAAAATAAGATAATCATGCGGAGAGGGATATTCGCAAGTTTTTTTCTTTATTTTGTTGGGTTCACTTTGGGGCGGTGAATTTGTTGTGTGCTTTGTTTATTTGTTTACCTAGACACACTTAGAGAGAGGGCATTTTGACTTATTCAACAGTTTTTTCATCGCTTCGCGTTTATCGCGCCTTATTTATAATTTACATACATACATATGTAGTATGTGTGTAGTGCTAACATTGGCCCTCGTTCTGACGTCAAACAGTGCTGGGGAATTTCATTTTGCAGAGTGTCGTTCTTGTCAACTTTAATGAATTAACATTTTGTGGATTGTTTGGTTTTTTTGTTTGCTCAAAGTGAAATGTAAATAATTATTACATTTGACACTTTGCAAATTTAACGCTCCCATTAACAAAGAAGAGTAGAAAAACAATTAGAGATTGGTCATTTCCAATTTTAAATGTTGAACTTCAATAAGCTGCCCAACAACTCTTGAGGGACTATTTTTTGGAGGTGAAGTATATACATTAGAGTTCGAAGCATTTGAGATAAATCGTTAAAGCAATAGAGAAGGAAGTAAAATCAATGGACTACAACAATGTTTGGACCATAGTTGAAAAACCTGAAAATGTTAAACCTTTGAAGTCAAAGTGGGTATTTCGCGTCAAGAAGGATGAATATTGAAATGTTTCAAGATATAAGGCGAGATTAGTGGCTAAAGGATATTTACTAAAACATGACATATATGATGAAGAAACCTTTGCACCAGTAGCTAAACTTACAATCATGAGAATAGCAGTCGGAGTTCAACGCGGATATTTTTCCGCCAAATGGATGTCAAAACTGCATTCCCACATGGGGAATTAAAGGAACAAATATTCATGGAAGCGCCTGAGGGAATTGTCCTTGGCAAGAATAAGATTTTCCGGATTAATAAATCCATATATGGTTTAAAACAATGTTCACGTTGCTGGAATTAAAAAAATATGGAATTCTTTTTGAAAATTGGATTTGTAAGATCGAAAAGTGATTACTGAATGTACGTCAAATATAAAAATTCTACGACAACATATGTTGGCTAATCACATGTTGCGTCGAAAATGAGTTTTAAAAGTTGAAAAATAACCTATTCAATGAATTCAGCATGTCAGACAGTGGAAATCTGAAATATATTTTTAGAATTAAAATAGATTACAATAAAAATGATGGAGTTATGAAATTATCACAGGAAAGCAATATATCCAGAATCTTAGAAAAGTTTCAAATGATTGACTGTAATCCGGTTGCAACACAAATGGAAAAATTGGCAGAGTTTCCCAATTCGCAACCAAAAAAAAAACCGTACATACATCTTTGTGAAGCCACACTAGACATATGACGCGTTTTCAAGAAAATCCAACAGAAACGCATTGGAAAATGTTAAAGTAAATTTTAAGATATATTCAGGGTACAAAGCGTTAAAATTGGTTATGGAACAAAATGAAGGTTGTGAATCATTAATCGGATAAGCAGATGTTAATTGGTCTTCTGATCTTTTTTATAGAAAATCAGTAAGTTGTTCCGCCTTTCAAATTTATGGAAGTACAATTGCATTGTCAAGCAAAAAGCAAGCTACAGCGGAATCTTCTTCCGATGAAGAATAGATAGTGTTAAGTGCAGCCACATCAGAGGCAATATGGATAAAATGAATTTTGGAAGATATGCATATTGCTGAAAAATAATATAGTAATTTCGGTGGCAATTTTTCAATCAATATTTTCATAAATTTTATAGGAATTGCTCCCCATTAGACTAAAAATTCAAATTTTTGGCAGGCAACTACTTGGAATTGTAATTTATTTTGTAGCATACTTTATGGAGAAGTCATTATTTTTTGATGCAAACGTAGGGTTGTATCGAGGTAAAGTCAGCTCGAATTAGCAATTAAATCGAGGTAATCTCTTAATCATGATAAAAGCTGTAATCTAAACGCGCCTCAAACATCATCATCAATGTTCTGTTGATTAACTATCGTTATTTAGGCGCGCTTAGACTATGCCTTTTAGACCGACTCGATTTGTAAAATACCGCATTTTGGGTGGTACCGTTATATGAGGGCTCAATATTGATCATTTGACTCAGTATTGATCATTTTCATGGTCGGCAACAAGATGTGCCACCCAATGATAACTCAATATATGAAATTTCAGTCAATTTGGTTGACAAACGTGCCAAACCTCACGAAAATAACTAATATTTGGGAACATTTGGGATACCGTTATATTGGGGCTATACCAAAATGTGGGCCGATATATCCCATTTGCAATACAAACATCTTAGGAGTAGTAGCAATATGTGTGCAAAATTTCAACAGCTAGACGGGCAGTTTTGGGACATGGGCAAAAATCAGCATAGAATTTTATTTCATTCGGAATGACAAGTTTAATAAACACTCCAAATTACGGTTGAGTGAATATGGCTTATATCCTCTGCGATCCCGACATGTTAATTTGCAGTCACTTAAGTTGGAATATGCAGGGATTCTTTTTATTAGCAAATATCCTAGAAGAAATATTATAAAATATTTCTATAAACCTTCAGAAGACATGGTTTAAAATCCGATTCAGAATATATACTCTGATTAACATTTTAAGCTGATTCAAAATACAAGTTATGGGATTTTCCACGATTATTTGCAAATGCAAATACTCTCTATAAATACCAAATTGGAAAAACAAATTTGTTTAAGAACACATTTTTGGCCCGCCTACTAACGAGCAGTTAGGACAACCCCGTTCATTAGCAATGTAAACAAAACAAAACGAAAACAAATTTGTTTATTATTCCGGTGGGTGGGTGGTTGTTGAAACGAAGTGGAGGAAAATACTAACATTATGTCCGATATATGTTTCTTTCCTTTCCGATTTTTGTTTTTCTGTTTGGTTTTCACTTTTCTTGTGGTGACTGACAGCGAGCGTAAAGATGTTTCGTGGAAGTGTTCTTACGTTGTTGCATATATTCTTGGGGGCAAATGCCCGTACGATATTTTAGAAGGCGATGGTGGTGGCTGGTCGTCGTTGTTACGTACGGCATGAGTTTTTCATGCTGCCGTAAAGTGTTTCAGAATTCAGTATACCCCCAGCGTTTGGTCATATTGAAAGCATCGCTTGTTCTGTTGGCTGTGTGTCGAAGTCATTTTGCATGGAATACTTTTCAATTTCGATTCGCTAATCAAATTTTGAAACCACAAGTTCCGTCAGGCGTCCGGCCGAGCAATAACGTTGTAACAACCATCGGTGGCGTCGGTATTGTTTTGCAGAGCTTCGAAGGCAAAGGAGAAGAGAAAAAGGCCGGTTGTTGTTGCTGTTGTTGTTTCTGTGAATGACACAGTCATGTTTGTTTACAATTTTTTTCAACGGCGCTTTGACGTACGTAGATGACAACATACCGACAAACAAACATACACAAGTGGCATGAATGGTGCATTCCACCATCTGTTTGTATGTTTGTCTGTCTGACTGGACCGACTGACGTATACTTGGTTAGACCATACCAACCAGTCAGTTTTCCCATTTCATGCTCAGCAACAATTCATAACTTTAGTGATGATGACTGTAATTGAATTTTTTCTGAATTGAAATTAATATTCGCCTTTTGTGCGTACACTCACTCGCAATGCGTGTGACGGCATCTGTGTCTTTCGGTCGGTTGCTGTTGTTGTGGGTGTGCGCTCTTTTTTTGTTGTTTCTTCTTTAGATGACGCGCTACAAGCAGACAGAATTCTCGGAGGAAGATAGCAGTTCCATGGGTGGTGTACAATTGAATGAGCCCAGCATTAGTACTGGAATGCAGATACGTTATCATACCGCTCGGGTAAGTTCACAAAACACTAACGCACACACATACATACGTATATACGCATTGTACACTTGAGTGGCAGTGCCAGCCATCCAACACAACGTTAATCCCAAAGTTCGTAATTAAAAAGAAATGCAAACAAGAATTTTGAAATGCAAATATTATTCACATGGATTAGGGAAGACGATAAAGATATATTTAAACGAATCAGGGATGTCCAACATTGGATAATTTCGCAAGTCGGGGGCTATGAATGAATTATAGGCAAACTGATCATGGTGTGAAACCTATATACGCATGCATTGAGATCTTTTGATCTTCGTCATACCGTGATACAGGGTAGTATGTCTTTGTGCATATGTTTGCAACATGCAAAAGCAAACGACATGGACCTATGGTTCATTCTGAGTCGATTTATACATGTCTGTCTGTCAGTCAGTCCGTTCGTTTTTATACCCTTAACCACACTGTGGTACAGGGTATTATGTTTTTGTGCATATGTTGGTAACAGGCAAAAGGAAACGAGATAGACACATGGTTCCTTTTGAGAATATGCCTAGAATCACTTTCAAAGTTCATTTATGAATGTCCGTCCGTCTGTCCGCCTGTCCATGTTTAATTGTAAACAAAGTACAGGTGCATTTATGACCCGAATTGGATGAAATTTGGCATAGCTCATCTATTTGACCCAAGGACGAACCCTATTGAAATTGGAAAAAATCGGTTCAGATTTAGATATAGCTCCCATATATATACGCCCGATTTAATGTAAATGGTGTACCAAAGTCCCTATATATCCTTCGATTTGCACGAAATTTGGCATTGCGTACTGGATTGAGTCTAGGATGATGTGCGTAAAATTTCTTGAAAATCGGTTCAGATTTAGATATAGCTCCCATATATAGTTTCGTCCGATTTTAGGTAAATGGTGCACCAAAGTCCCTGAAAATCGTTCGATTTGCACGAACATTGGTATAGCGTAATGAATTATGTTTAGAATGACGTGTGCTAATTTTCGTGAAAATTGGTTCAGATTTAGATATAGCTCCCATATATAGTTTCGTCCGATTTTAGGTAAATGGTGCACCAAAGTCCAAATATATATTTCGATTTGCACTAAATTTGGCATAGCGTACTGAATTAAGTCTAGAATGATGTGTGCTAAGTTTCCGTTCAGATTTAGACATAGCTCCTATATATATTTTCTTCTGATTTTATGCAAATTCTGCACTAACACAGTTTGTGCGTTTGTCACACAATTAATCTCTGGCAAGCGTATCGTATTGAAGTTAGTATAACCTAGAAGATAGATTTAAATTCTGCACCAAACTCCCCAGGTGGGTTCGATTGGCACACAAAATTTTGCACAACGTACTGAAGTTACTATAAAATAACGTGTGGCAAGTTTTGTTGAAATCGGTTCAAATTTAGATCAAATGGTGTCCTATTGATATTTGCTTCAAATTGATTTACATAATTTTGTCCCATTGTAAGAAGCAACTCTATATCTGACCAAATGAAAAATTTAGTATAGATTGCAGAATGACATGTTTATGGATCCAATTTCATTTTACTCGTCCTTCTAAAATGCAAAGTCTGTTAGGATTCATCTGTTGAATATACCGAAAGCGGTGAAGGGTATCATATAGTCGGCACCGTCCGACTTTACTACTTTCCGTACTGGTTTTTGTATTGAAAAAATGTCAAATAAACACAACCACTTGTTTCGTGTGTTTTCGTGATATTTTTTAGAATATATACCTACATAGTTAATTTTTTGTTATTCACCTCAAGCTGTCCTACCTTGAATTATTGTACCATGCTTACAACCTATCCTGAGACATGCAAATTCCGTTTCAGAGTTACGAAATCCGTTACACTAGAATTTTTTACCATTTCGATTGTTAATAACGACGAAATTGTTAATAACGACGCCGTTTAAAATAACATATCGGTTAAAACAACTTGTCCATAAGTCCCTAGAAACGTTCTGCCCTTGATTTGATATCGTTTATAACGACATATCGTTTATAGCGATCAATTTCACCAGCTCCTTGATCGTGGTTATAAACGATTTGTACTGTATAATAAATTCAATTTAAGTTACAAAAGTATTGAAGTGTTGTCCGGCTGCCCTGTAGATTTTTATTAGATTTGTTTTGTACATTAGTTTATTGTTTATTATTTTTTATTGTTTGCCACTGCCATTCATTGTTGTGTCAATACTCTGCTGTGTAATTAGTTTATTGTTGCAATAATTCAATCACCATAAATTATTAGGGAAACACACACACACATTTCTAACAAATCATTTTAATGAAACGTAGGTCATAAAGTGGGTTGGATTGTATTTTTAAATATTAGTTGTAGAGAACTGTTCGATAATACAATAATAAATTAAAAGTTCAATAGAACATAGTAATTTTAATGTCTATGTTACATTGTTAAGGGTTTTGTAGCATGTAAATTATTTTTTATAAATATTTTTATCTTCAGCATTACGTTATAAAATATTTGAAATGTGAGATAGGTCGGAGTGCATAATATGTGAATCATTCATAAGACACTGTTTGGTAATGAGATATCCTTACAAGTCAAAACCTACAAACACTTAAGTTGGCCATATAAAAGGGCTATGCCAAAACATACACCAATATTGAAATTTTTCTATCAAATTGAAATATTTCTATGGGGATATGTCGACGAATATTTCGTACTTTGGAGTTGCAATCGGAATGGAAAATTGTATATACATTTACCATCTTTTCATGGAATATTTAACCTATGAATCTTATCGAAGCATTTAACTTGCATTTCAAATTATCAAGCTTTTAAATTTTAACTATTATTTTGACGCCTAAAAGTATTCTACAGAAAAAACATTATCCACATATTTTACTGTGGAACACACGTTTGACTGACAGCTCTGTCTAAATTTGGCATTGTTGTCAGCAAGGCCCATTTTAGAAGTCTTCCACAGTTAAAGATGTTAGAGATGCCCCATTCTGTTAAATTTGCCGTTTACGTCTTCATACGCGTATTTCAAAATAGAAAACATTTTGAAAGCAAGGGTGATGTTGTCTGGTATTCCTTTTTGATCTGAGCCACAGTCAGACGATAAAGCTATCAATGTATAACAATATCTTGAGGCCACTACATAAACGCATAATACCTCACATTGGGTTTCTACTAACGTATTTTCCGAACAGTGTGTAGGGGATCAATTTATAACGATAACCGCATTACCGATTCCAATAGTAACATCACGTTGTCCGATTTTAGGTAAATGGTGCACGAAATCCCTGTGAATCTTTCGATTTGTACGAATTTTGGCATAGTGCACTAAATTAAGTCTAAACTGATGTGTGATAAGTTTCGTAAAAATCGGTTCATACATATTTTCGTCCGATTTAATGTACATGGTGTAACAAATTCCCTATATATCTTTCGATTTGCACGAAATTTGATATAGAGTACTGATTAAAGTCTAGAATGATGTGTGCTAAGTTTCGTGAAAATCGGTTTCCCACCGAGTTAGTGAAAGTTTGGTATATTGGGTTTTCATTGGTAGCAGTTGTTCTGCAAATGCCTTGTCAGTCAGGCACCAAAGAACCAAAGTCAGGCACCAAAGAACTTCTCATTGAGGTGGTATCGCTGGTTTCGTAAGTATTTCGATTTGTTACAAGAGACATTTGAGTATGAAAGGTTTTTTGTAAAGAATCAGTAAATAGCTTTTGGGAAGAATATCCCAACTAGATATAATTGGGCTAGATATGGGATTTTCACGAAACTTTGCACATATCATTCTAGACTTAAGGGAACCGCCCCCCCCCCCCCTTCTTGATTTTAATTTTTCATGATTTTCAATGGGCTGGTAAATCAATACCAATGCTGAAAATGACGGACTTTTAAAAAAATATTTTTGGAAAATCGCCGATTTTTGACCAAAAACCAAGTTAAAAAATAAGGAAGATCTTTACCGATTGGCTTTATCCTAGTTCATACAATAGCAGTACACTCACAGAGAAACGTGTAAAAATTTGGAATCGATTGGGTTATTAGTTTTTGAGTTATCGTGCCCGCCATTCGCAAAAGAGAAAAACGCGTTTAAAGTTTGAGAAGCCCTTTAGCCGTCACTTGATGCTGACACAATAAATCGGCTATATCTTCAAGAGTTCTTCTCACTTGAAATTTTGTAGAGACATTCTTGAGTTTGTGTCGATTCGAATTAAATCAAAAAAAAAAAAAAATGTTGACCCCGAGAATGGGGGTACGCTGTGCTAAATTTCGTACAAATCGAATGATATATAGGGACTTTGGTACATAATTTACCTTAAAACGGACAAAGATATATATGGGAGCTATATCTAAATCTGAACCGATTTTCACGAAACTGTGCACACACCATTCTAGACTTTATTCAGTACGCTGTGCCAAATTTCGTGCAAATCGAAGGATATATAGGGACTTTGGTACACAATTTGCCTTAAATCGGACGAAACTATATGTGGGAGCTATATCTAAATCTGAACTGATTTTCACGAAACTTTGCTCACATCATTCTAGACTTTATTAATTACGCTGTGCCAAATTTCGTGCAAATCGAAGGATATATAGGGACTTTGGTACACCATTTACCTTAAATCGGACGAAAATATATATGGGAGCTATATCTAAATCTGAACCAATTTTTCCCAATTTCAATGGGGTTCGTCCTTGGGCCCAACAAATGAGCTGTGCAAATTTCATCCAATTCGGATCATAAATGCGACCTGTACTTTGGTTACAATTTAACATGGACAGGCAGACGGACAGACGGACGGACATGAATAAATCGACTCAGAAAGTGATTCTATGCATATTCTCAAAAGGAACCATGGGTCTATCTCGATTATTTTTGCCTGTTACAAACATATGCACAAAGACATAATACCCTGTACCACAGTGTGGTGAAGGGTATAATTAAGGGAACTGATGAGGATCAGTGGCGAGATCCGAAACTATAGTCTTCCCTGCCTTACTCCTCGGAGGACAATGTCATACATTCCCCACTAATTAATAGTTATTTTTTTTTTATAAAAACAACAAACTGGGATTCATCCTGACTATTTTGCAAAACAAAATACAAATGGTATCCCAAATATCCCGCCAACACTACTGTAGCAAATCTTCATACCAAATAATGAGCCAATGTTTTTCAAACAGAAATCCCCATTGATTTTAGATACGAAAAAGGTTGCCCGAGTCGAATTCAAAAATTTTAATACGACCCACTTTTTGTGAGTAAGAATCCGCTTTGTGAAATATTAAATATTGGTTTCGATCTGAAGACGTTTGCATGGCCACGAATATTACCTATACCTATTTTAACAACAGAATTTAATTACAATCCATTTTATTTTTTCTTCAGGCAACATTAAATTGGCGTTCAAGGAACCGTGTAGAGAAATGGCTTATGGCAACGACATTAGTTCTATCCTTCATAATAATAACCTTGCTTATAGTGATCTTTCAGCGGGAGGCGGAGAATACCACAAGAATTTTACATGTGGAACCACATAAAGGTACGAAAACGTCAGCTTTTTTTCTCAAAAAACATTTTAATGCCTTACCTCTCATTACAGATCCTGAGATGCCATGTCTGAATGAGCATTGTATATTTGCCTCGAATGATATTTTAAACTCCATAGATCGCACCGTGAATCCTTGTGAAGACTTCTATGGTTATGCTTGGTAGGTAATGAGGAAGGGAGTTGATATATTTAGTTAATGTGTTTTGTCTTTTCTTACAGCAATCAATGGGTTAAAAATAATCCCATACCGGATGGCAAAAGTTCCTGGGGTACCTTTAGTAATATAGAACAACGTAATCAATTGATAATCAAAAATATTTTGGAGCGACCCATGAAATCGTTTACCTCCGAGGCTGAGAAAAAGGCCAAGATCTATTATGAATCCTGTTTGGATCGCAATGATGAGTTGGAGAAGTTGGGCGCCAAACCGATGGTTTCATTTCTGTGGAAAATTGGTGGTTGGAATGTTTCACATACTGGCTTCAACATGGGCCAATGGACACTGGCCAACACCTTGAAAATATTGCAAAATAGGTGAGGGAGGATTTGTGAACAGTTGAGTAAGAGAGAGAATTTTAATTTTCATTCCGCAATTTTCAGATACAACATCAATTGCCTTTTTGGCTGGGCCATTGGTGAAGATGATAAAAATTCCACACGCCACATTATACAAATTGATCAGGGTGGCCTGACGCTGCCTACACCAGAATACTATGAAAATCGCACAGAAATTCATCGCAAAGTACTCAAGGAGTACATAGAGTATATGACCAAAGTTTGTGTTCTATTGGGCGCCAATGAGACCGATGCCCGACGACAAATGAAAGAGGTTATGGATTTTGAAACAAAAATTGCAAACATTACCATACCATTGGAGGAGAGACGCAATGAGGAGGCCATGTATCATCCCATGAAGTTGTCGGAATTGGATAAGTTGGCACCATTTATAAACTGGACAGAACATTTAGATCATGCCATGCAATTGGTGGGTAGACGTGTCACTCAGCGAGAGGTGGTTGTGGTCTATGCTCCAGAATTTTTAAAGAAACTTGCAGTTATAATTGCTGAGATGGAGAAAACTGTGGAGGGGAAAAAGTAGGTTTTCACATTCCACCCTGAGAAATATTTCTAATCTGGGTTTCTTTCTTTTTAGCACCCTTAACAACTACCTCGTTTGGCAGGCTGTACGAGTCCTTACCCCCTGTCTATCAAGATCTTTCCGCGATGCTTATAAAGGTGTTCGCAAAGCATTAATGGGTTCCGATGGCGGTGAGGAAGTTTGGCGTTTCTGTGTTGCCGATACGGGCAATGTTGTCGGCTTTGCTGTGGGTGCGATCTTTGTAAGACAAGCCTTCCACGGAGATTCCAAACCGGAAGCAGAACAAATGATTAATGAAATCCGCGAAGCCTTTAAAGTTAGCATACAAAATCTTTCGTGGATGGATAATCGAACCCGAGCAAGAGCTATTGAAAAGGCGGATGCCATATCGGATATGATTGGTTTCCCCGACTATATACTCAATCAAGCGGAGCTGGATAAAAAATATGCCGATCTCAATGTTACCGCAAATGCCTATTTTGAGAATAATATACAATCGAATATTTTCAATCTAAAGAAAAATCTCGAGAAATTGGATCAACCGGTGAACAAAACCAATTGGGGTATGGTTCCGCATATGGTCAATGCCTACTACACACCATCGAAGAATCAAATTGTATTTCCTGCCGGTATCCTACAATCTCCGTTCTTCGATCGGCATCATCCGAAAAGTTTAAATTTTGGTGCCATGGGTGTGGTAATGGGCCACGAACTTACCCACGCCTTTGATGATCAGGGTCGTGAATTTGATAAATATGGCAACATCAATCGTTGGTGGGATAATAAAAGTATCGATCGATTCAATGAGAAAACCGAATGCATTGAAAAGCAGTATGGTTCATATGCCATATCCGGTCGCCATTTGAATGGTAAACAAACATTGGGTGAGAATATTGCCGATAATGGTGGCTTGAAGGCGGCATATCATGCGTTCCTCAAGACGTCGATGGATAAGGAGGCGGACGTTTTAAAACTGCCGGGATTGAATTTGACACATAAGCAGCTATTTTTTGTTTCATTTGCAAGGGTAAGAGAAGTATTAAAAAAAGCAATGTAATTTTTCGTTGTATGTTTCGATCGCGCGGAGATGGATCGCAAACACCATTCCATACCCTTCGATTTCTTAGCGCAGCATAAGCGGAATAAATGACTTGAGCACATCGTAAACTGTGGCAGCGGTTAAGTCGCTCTCGACCCCTGGTAAGAAGGTTGATAGAACCTCAGTTAAATTTAACGACGAAGTTGTGAATGATTCGAAGAGATGGGTCAGTTATTTTAATCGACAGTTTGTAGAGCATCCTGAGAGCGACAGGGCGAAGCGAAGCGTACTATGTCGTATAAGATCTCCAATTTTCTCAATTTGTCGATAGCCACCCACAACGTTCCCAAAGAGAAGCTATCCAGTTGCTAATCATCAACATGGGTTCCGTAAGCAACACAGCTCAAGAACAGCGTTGCACGCCATATCCGCACATATAAATCGAGGACATAACCAGAATCGGCCGTGCCATAGAACAGTATTGGTAGCGCTTGACCTATCAAAAGCCTTTGATACAGGGAATCATGTCAGACAGTTTGAGGGCATCGAAAACACTTCCCCCGGACAAGTTTGAAACGTTGGATAATCAATTATATGTGTGGACGCCAGTCGTACGTGGAATTCCGGAATAAGAAGTCCAAACCCCATAGTGTTAGACCAGGAGTTTCTCAGGGTGGAGTGATATCTCCGGAACTGTTTATCCTCTACCTTTCCGGTAGTCCACGCTCTTCAGATGACATCGTAACGAGTTTCATTGCCATTAAATGTGCAGGTCGAGGGGCACCAAATCAAAACCTGTTGAAATCGTCCGCGCAAATTATAGCTATCTACAAAAGTTGAAAAGTAGGAAAAAAGTCCTAAATTCGCTTGCCGGCAGCACTTAGGGCGCAGATAAGGAATCCCTGTTGGCCTCTTACAAAGTAATAAGTCGTTCTGCGGCTAGCTATACGGTAGCAGTGAGGTCTGCGAAAACTAGTGCTACGGAATGGAGAAGTATTCAGAACTGTCAGAACGCCGACCTGAGTATTGCAAAAGGGTGACTCCTCATAATAACTGTGGACCATCTTCATGAGGAGACGAAGATTCGTCATACCCATCATATGGTGGATAAGACTCTTCCAGCTAGGTGTTTCAGGAAGGATCTGCATGATCTAGAGATAAAGAGAGAGACATCTAACGTTATAAAAGTTGCCTATCGAGCAGGTCTAAATAGCACTCATACTGATGCAGTTGCCGCAGCACTGAATGAATACAGAGTGAATGTCCTTCTCTAAGCTCACCCCCACCCATAGCAAGTGAAGAACGTCAATTAACTAAGCATGTACTGCAAAAAAACATATTACAATAACTAAGGATCTTCATCTCCTCATAAAGATAGTCCATATGTTGCAACCTATTGGAAACCTATTGCAGTTATCAGTCCGGACCTATCGCTTAATAAGCATTGTGTAGCACTAGTATTCGCGGATCACACTGGCACCACCATCGCTTTATAAATAAGAGTATCGACCGGCTTTGCCGGCTCCACCGATGGATTCTTCTGGTAGTCTTCTTTGCTTTGCGTTGGCTCAGCTTTCACTTTGTATCCGACGTCAAAGAGCTCTTTTTCATTTTGGCGGGTTGGGTTCCTCTGTTTTTCCAGAGACTAAAGGTCAGTATTATTCGACTGCTGTACGTTTTTATTTCTCCAGTTCATCTTGGTCAGTTTTCCCCAACTGTATTGGAAGGTTGGTTTGAGATTGCTTTTCCTCGCTGGACCTTGAATTCAGAACCATTTTTGCTTGCTGGCGATACCCTCGACTACAGACGCCAAGGCACCCACATCTGCAGAAGATGTTTGCACACGATCGCAGGGTGATGACATGGCAGATCAATGACAACCACTGGTACATGGCCATTTAGGCTCAGCACCGTATCTTTTCTCATCTTACTCTCTTCACCTTATCCACCACCTGGGTATGCATCCTGTAGTGGACTACCAAACTCCCTCAGTTAGTAATGGATTAGTTTCAACTTGTCAAATGCCAAAAAAAAAAAAAAAATAAATAAATAAATATATAAAAGTACTTGGCGTACGACACCGCCGCAAAATCTGACGACATATAATTAAGCGTTCTTTCAGGATTGAGAAGTCTCCTGGTTAGCATTTTTTTCTATTGGAAATCGTTTCATATTCAAAGCTTGTATATATCTTCCTTAGCAGTTACATAGAGCCATAGGTTATATATAACTTCTGACTGGTATTGAAACTACTTTTATGTCAAGGTATGCTGTTTCGGAACACATATTCGATACCTCATTGTATTGGGCGGTATATCCTGCATCTTGCCGAAAAATTACGATTCGTTTTTTTCTTTCTGAAATGGATCGGTTTTAATTAATTTTTTATATTTAGATCGATTCCCAAATCTGTATTTTTGTTGTGCTCCAATCCCCATACGAACAAATAATTATCTTCTCTTTCTCTCTCCACTTCATTTTAGGTATGGTGTTCCTCAGATACTGAAGAAACAATTATGCTTCAGTTAGAAAAAGATACACATTCACCGTCACGACTGCGAGTCATCGGGACACTATCAAATATGCCGGAATTTGCCGAAGTGTTTCAGTGTAAGCCCGGCTCAAAAATGAATCCTGAAAAGAAATGTGCCGTATGGTAAAGTTAAGCTTCTTCTTCTACTTCGATGTCTATCCAACTGTCTGTCTGTTAAAAAAAATCTTCTTCGTCTTCTGCTAATTACCATTAAAAACAAAAACAAAACCAAACTAAAAACCAATAACCAAAGGTATGTATGTATGAATGTGCGTAAATGTCGGCGAATAGACGTTTCTCTTTTTATATAACCGTGTTGAATTCGTACTTGCGAAATCCTTAAACGATTCTAGTGAACAAAAATAAGAAAACAATATTGAATGTGTGTGTGATTTAATAATATTAAGCAAATTCCAAATAAAAAACTTATAATTTTTTTTATAAAAAACCAAAAAGAAATTATAAATAGTTATTAACAAATAATAACAACAAACAAAGAGTAAATCGTAAATCAAACGAACAAAACAAAACAAAAAACTATTAATCTAAATTATAGAAATATAATAATATGTATGTATGTATGTATGTATTGCAGATATTTTAAGATATGATGATTTTGTTTAATCAAAAAAAAAAAAAAAACTTTTGTCATCCGTAATCAACAAATTTAAAAGTGATTTTTATTTTTGATTATTTATTAATTGGCATCCAAATATAATATATAAATAAATACAAGAAAACTAAATATTTTCTTCCATGAAAATAAAAAAAACTATTATATTTTTGTACTTAAACTATATATTGTTTTCTATTTAAACAGAAAGAAAAAAAACAAACAACTAAACAAATAAAATATATGTAAAAAATTATGAAAAATAAAACGTGGAAACAACAATTCTTGCGATTTGAAAATAAAATCTCTATTTTTATGAAGTTAAGATTTGTGCCTAAAAAGCTAAATCAAATAAAATGAATGAAATCGAATGGAATTAAACAAACTCCAAATCTACAAATCTAGACTAATAATTCCCGTTTTATATCAGTTTTATTTTTATTGTTTTTTTTTTAATTTTTTAACTATTTAGCATTTATATTATCTAACGGTATTTTATCTAATAACGATTTAGTTATATAAACATATCTACCCAAAGTAAAGAAAAAACAAAAGTAAAACTGAAGATCCTTTATGTCGAAAAAAATAACCTACAAAATCCCAACGCAAAATATAATCAATTCAATAGGAATAAGGACATAGCATATTACTGAATAATGTGTAATGTGGCAAATTAGATTGGATACAAACAGTAATGGTTAAAATTATAGCAGAAAAAATTTATATTTCTGATTTTTATTTTATTTTTCAAAACCTTTGATATAGTCAATCATGCCATACTGTTTGAGGACTTCGAGAACACTTCCCTCCGGGCAAGTTTGAAACGTTGAATAATCAGTTATATGTGTCGACGCCAGACGTACGTGGAATTCCGGAAGAAGAAGTCCAAACCCCATATAGTTAAGCAGGGAGTTTCTAAAGGTGGAGTTATATCTCCGGATGTTTTTTTATTTTTCTTTATGATACCTTATGACTTAACGAGGTGTCGAGGTGTTACAAGGATTTTTCAAAAAAATTTTGTCCTTATTTCATTTGCTCTCCCTCGAAATATGCACGGGATCAAATAAAATAAAATTATATGCCGACTCCGTGCCCGTCTGTTGAAACTCAAACAGAGCTCAAAGTATTCCCGATAGAGATTTGAAATGTCGCACATATTAAAACGTGGAAATATATTCCATTTCAATACCATACATCCTAAGATTAGTAGTATCCTGGAAGTCCTGAAAAATGGTTCCCAGTTATCTAGGAGATCTTTAGTTCAATAAACAAAGACTCATGGGCTCAAATTCCCTCTGGAAACTGTTGTTACGAAAATGGCCCTCGTATAGCAGGAAGGACTGGGACTGGGACAATTCATAGAAGAAAAGGCAACTGCAATTTAATATTTCCTGCCAGTACTATCATTCTGGGAGAGGCTTGAGTTGTAACTGAGTTTCTGAATCGGTTGAGTTGAAACTTTGGAATAATATACTATCGGATAAACCCGTTCTGAAAGGTTAAATTTTAAACATTTCCGCAGATATCACTCCCAATTTGTATAACTATCTGGTCGGTTATATATTCTCGATGTCCATTCTATTTCGTGACTCGTATTGATTTCTTATTTGATTTCAATATGTTAAAAAGGTAGTATGATGTTTCTGAGGTTCTGGAATCTAGCTTGATGGCTGGGAGCAGGTTTGTTGGGGAGATGTAAAGGGCAAGTCAATTGACCATGAAATTTTCACCTTCACCTTTACTTTCATACTTTCTTTGTCCATTGTCCAGGCTTTGGAATGGGTGACAATCAGCAGATTGAAGCCACTTGATTTTCGAAATATTGCTCGTAGTGTTAGTTGCTTCTAGAGGTAGTTCCCCGACTTTGGGTTCGATAGAGGTACCGGAATGAGTGGACCAATGGATTCCATCTTCGGACTTGATCTAGCGTTGGTAAAGATAATAGGTTATGTAAAGTTTTGTTCAAATCGAACATTCCATTCGCCTGATATTAGATTTATAAATATTGAACATTTTGAGCATTAATGGGGCAGGTACAAGAAGGTGTGGACCAATAGGTACCATATTTGGACTTGATCTAGGCAAAATAAAGATAACAGGTTGTGTAAAATTTGGTTTAAATCGGATATTTTATTCGCCTGATATTGGATTTATAAATATTGAAAATGTTGTTAATTTATGGGGGAGGTAACAGAAGGAGTGAACCAGTGGGGTAAATCTTCGGACTTGATCCAGGCTTAATAAAGATAATAGTTTGTACAAAGTTTGGTACAAATCGGATATCATGATATTATAAAACTAATTTTTAGCAAAATTTTTGAAATTTTGTGGGGGAGATACAAGAAGAAGTGGACAGATATTCCACATCTTCGAACTTAACCAAACTTTAAAAAAAAATATATTTATTTTATTTACTTATTTATTTACTTAGCTGGCTTGTGACAAAACTTTCGTTCCATAAGCCGTGCTTAAAAAGGTTTTCCAGGCGCGTCCGTCTTTTGTGCAGTTTTTCCAATTTGAAATACCAAGTTCGGCAATGATGTCTTCCCCTTGATCTTTCCATCTAATTCTTGGCAACAACATGACCTAGCCAACACAGTCGCTGCAGCTCGATACGTCTGACTATGTCGATGTCCGAGATTTGATTGTACAGCTCATGGTTCATTCGACAGCGATATTCACCGTTGACGCAGATCGGCCCCTAGATCTTCCGGAGAATTTTTCTCACAAACACTTCAATAGCTGCCTCATCTACTTGCGTAAGTACTCGTGCTTCAGATCCATACAACAGAAAGGGTAGTATCAGCGTGTGTGAGGTGGTCTTGTTCTTGAATTGCTTACTCAAACCATAACACTATTCTTTTCCGGATTTCAAAGTTGATGTTATTAGTGTTGTTTATGGCGGCACCGAGGTATATAAAATCATACACTACCTTGAAGCTGTAGTTCTCAAGTTCCACAATTGGTCCGAGTCTACTGGACGTCTAGCGCGTTGATACCATCGTTGATACTTTTGCAGACCCCTTTTCAATTTTTTCAATGGTGGCCGTTAAAATTGACCTGTGGTAAATCATCGGTATTATTTCGATCTTGTCATGGATAAAAAAATTCTCAGCACGCATGTTGTCCCTTATTAGAAATGAGACACGAGTGATTTTATTCAATATCAAAAAGTGTATATGGGCAATATTGCCAATTTTTTACATAGCTGAAGCGGAGGTTCACCCCTTTATAACTCGGGAACTACTTAAGTATATGAAAAAAGTGAATAGTTTTGGGTTAATTGATCTGTCGTTGCAAACTGTTCATGATATTGACCTCCAAACTTTATTTTGGTGGAAGCTGTGTCTACTTTAATGTAAAAAAAAATGTGTAAAAACAGGTTGAGGCGAACCAGTTTTTTTATGTTCTCTATCGATTTGTAACTAAGCCACTCATTGCACGGTCTTCGTGTCAAAATAAAACTAGAAGCCAACAAAATGGGGACAACGCCCCTTACGTATCATTTTTCAAAATTTTAACTGCATCTACCTTCAAATGATGCTGACATTTTGAACCTCGATTTTGAGTGTTTTTTTAATTTTACTTCTAGCTTTAATACGCAAACAGGAATTTATTAAAATCGATTATAAGATTATTGTAATCGCGAATCTGCGTAATTTGATATGTATTTTGTGTATGTAGTATGCACAGCTTCAGAGTAATACTCATCCGAAGGTGCGAATTTTGTGCGATCAAATTTCTAAAAAACCTATTTTTCGGGCCAAATTTTTAGATCTGTCAACTGAATGATATGGGTACCCGCGATCAATAAAGTTTTTTACGTTTCAGATGATATAAAATCTCCTCCGTGAAAATCCATCTACTAGAACGGCGGGAACTGGCGTTCCAAAAACATGAAATTTTCGGAAATTATTCGCGTTTTACGATTTTTTGGGTACTTCAATGTAACGTGTGGCACATCTTAGCCGTCAAATGAAATTTCGCAATATATATATGGATTGGAAGATAAACTTCAGTACTTCCTGGAAACCGCATGCGCATCAAATGATTTTGAGAATTAGGCGATTTAGACGCAATTTAAAATGTATATTTCATAATATTATTTTATTTTAAGATTTATTCCTATTTATAGAACCCCAAGATTTATCGGAAGGGTCTTGATATTATCCGCAAGGCGTATACTTATACACAAAAAGTGATTATTATTATATATGTCAATTTTTCGGCGAAATTCGGGTAAAATAGCAGAATAACCCCAACATTTTTTCTGAAATTTCTTGTATAATATTGAAAAAATAAATATGATGACATTATTTTTTCGAACCAAAAACAAATATTTTTCCTCTATATCTTGTTTTGTTGTCGCTTTGATTTAGAAACCGCTACACGGACTTGTGTAATTTTGATATCATTTGATTCATCATGGTGTTTAGATTATGTAGATATTTTTAAATTAATTTTTAGGTGTGTGTATGTCATTAATATATTGAAAATATTGATATAATCTGCTATATATTTT